GTCTCCGCCAACCGCCCTGGACATTGGCATATTCACTCATTTTTGGAAACTAGATCCAAATGGAAAAGCTGATCTGGAAAAGCCTCTACAGCTCAGTCCTAGTCACAACTTTGTACAGTGTGTGCGTGTATGTGCTGGCAATGTGTTATCTGAGTGATTGTGTTTGCTCTCTTTAGCTGCCATCTCGCTTAGCTGTCTGCAGCGAGAAGGGCTATAAAGCGCTGATGATCCAGCAGCAGGGGTTAAACTCTCTGCTGGTAAAGTAGGGGAGTGTGCAGTCTGCACCTCCGATGAGTGCAGACCACAGTAATTGCTCCCTCGCACCCCTGGCATGTTGTGAATCAGAGCGCAAGATTAGAATACGCTCGGCTTTGACTCAGGCTTTGACATAGTAAGGCAGAGAAACATAATAATAAAACACAGACTCAGATGTGCGCTGAAAAGGCCGTGGTCTTTTATTTAGTTTACAAATTATTTACAAACGTAACTTATTTACTCTAAAACACGTAATTTGTAACTAAACATCTCCGGTCTTTAAACCCCCAGAGATTTAACACATAACTCACCAGGTTCCGCCCTATTAACCAGAACTTAAAATGATAACGAAACTCAGCTAGTCCAACCCCCCTTTAAATTAGGCAGGTGATCTCAACCCCAATAAAAGACCACGACAATTGAACTTTAGGGCGGGATTGCGGGAAAAAACAGCTCCACAGCTGACTTTTTCTTCTTTTTTCTTGGTGCCAAATATCACCTCAGGGCGCCTCATATATCGCTTTTTTCCCGCTTCAGAGCACCCTCGCGGACTAGCGTTCCAATCAGAAGAACACTGTCCATGCGGACCCCTGCATGGAAAGCTCATGAGGGCATCGCAACAGCCGTGACGCGCCGTACCTTGAATAATCCCCACGACACACGTGTATCTAGTCGATTGGCTAGGTACATTCTTAAGTAAGTGCCGAGGCTGCAAGGGAGCAATTACTGCGGTCTGCCCCAATGGAGGTACAGAACACATGCTCCCTGAGCCAGACCTGACTCAACCAGGACACCCTGTAGCAGTCTCGCCAGGGCAAAAAAAATCTGCGTGACTGGCTCATGGAACTACATGTCTCAGGAGTCAGGCATAAGGAATTTCCCATCCCTGCAAGAGTAATCTAGAGTCAACACCGACCCACATGACCTATATTTAAGGCTTGAAGTGTCTTGTCTCAGTTAGTTTTATTGAGTCCCCCTGCCATCCAGCCCTCTACAGGTATTTCACATGTTATTGCTGGAGTGCCTCAATGTCTCGGTTACATTGCTTTGTTCTTATCTGTAAATGCCACAATAGCATTTACTGCATCCATACTAATCCTACGAATGATAAACGTTCTTAATGATAATAAAATGTCACTAAATTATATCTGATTTTAGTGGTTTAGTCAATGCAGCATGTGAAAAATAAGCCAAAACTAAAATTAAGTTTATATGCGCACTTAGAGGAATTCTGGGAAGAGGTGTCTGGGCTCCTTAAATAGTTTGGCAACGGTTCATCTTCAAACTTGTGGATGTTGCACTCACCACTACCGCCTCCTGGTTTGCCGTTCCTCGCTGCAGTACAAGGCAAGGTTAGCCGAAACACTGACACTGTCAGGTGATGCTTGTAACCTATCAATGGGCTCCCACAGAGAAAACATGTATGTATTATATGTCGCAATGTGCGCCCATTGATGGTCTGAGAGTGTCTGTCGCTCGCAGCCTATCAGCAGCCGCCCAGCCGAGACAGAATTGCTCAGCACTAATGTTTCACCTTTCGGGTTAAACGATTGTCAAACCCCTCGAAGGTAAGAATGCAGACAGACACTCCTGCCACCATAACAACTTAAATACATTTAAGCTTTAATGGGAGAGAGGGGGTTCATTTACCCTTACAATCTCAATTTATCAACTCTCTGGAACACAGTTTACAGATTTTTAATAAACAAAGGTAATTATTAAACCTATCTCTAGGCCTGAACAGTGTAAGTAATGTGTCCATTGAATAGCCAGAACTGTATATTGATATTTTGGAATGTGCTCGTCCAAATAAAGGATAAGGACTGCAGGCGAACTTCTAATGATATTGGAGACCCCGATACTTGGAGTGTGAGAGGTTGTCTGTCTTTGTTCCTAGACAATACTCCTGGCCTCATGGTTAATGACGTCCAGTCTCATCACTCAGATGGTTGCCGAGAGTTTAGATGTACAATAGAGTAAGGTATATATCAGTAGAGTATTGCATCTCTGTCATAGGTTAAAAAAAAACTGTCCGACTCCTCATTGTTTATAATTGAGAATAAAGGTTTAGATGGGATATAGCCTAGTTGTGTATTATTTCGCAATGAATACATACAAGTAAGAACCTCAATGTAGTTTTTCTCCGGATTACGCGTCTCCTTTAATCAGAAGCACCATTTATTTTATTCTGCATTATATTAACATGTCCACATTTTGCATTCTGAATATCCCCGTACATCACTGATTGGTTTTACCCCATTTGGTACAGGACCATCACGCGTCATTCTGAGCCATGGCAAATCCATTATCGCTGTGTTACTAGTCTCAGTCCTAGAATGTTTCTCCTATCTGCGTCAGACAGTGCCAAAACACAATTGGAAAAGGTATGCTATAGATTTATCAGACCGTACAACAATCGGAACTTTCAAGACTTTCCGATGACAATGTGCATTGTATTCTCAGTACTTCTGTAAGAGGTTTTTATCTCTGATAAACATTTCGCAATCTTTCTGTAGTCCTTGAGTTTGTTTGCATGTTTTCTCCATTACTTGCATTATGTTGTCAGATTGGGGGATTTTTACAGGTACACACGGGATCACGTTAAGTACCTGATAGTGAGACACCGATAAACATCTTTATATCTATTCAATCCTCCCATGGCAGCCATCTTGTATTGGAGCATTTTACACCAATACTTTATTTCATTCAATAATAAATCCTGGTTCATTTTATTGTTAGGGAATTCACACAGAGTGTCTGATTTTGTAAATTATTTTATTATCTTATTATTTTTTTATTTTATTTTTTGGTATACGTGCCTTCTGTCTGGATTCTCTATTACGTTTGAAATGCCCACCTTATTTATAAATTTATATTTAACTGTTTGCTTTGGCTTTCTGTGTGATATGAGTCCTGGAGACTTGCCATAACGTAATATAGCATTCATTCCACAGGTTCCTTTGTCTACTGTAACATTATGCTGCTTTTTGTACATTCTTGTCCCATCGTGAATATAGAAATAATATTAAAATACCCAGTTGGGTCCTCAGATCTCAGGCTATTTCTTTGTGCTAACTGGCCTCATATTTCATGCTATAGTCATGTCTGGTCATTTGAATCCGCAGCTGCAACAGATTTTCTCTTGCGCGATACAAAACATCAATTCACATGTAGATAAAAAAAAAAAAACTTGTGAATCATCCAATGACACGAGACCCTGAATTTTCATCTTTTCTATGACTTTTGTTCACTTGGAACAGTCCTGGGCCCTCAGGTTATCAGTGTAAGAAACACTGCAGGAGGTGACAAACAGATTTCTAGTGACACTATATTGAGGGGGGACCTCAGAGTCTAAACTGTGACACCTTTTTTGTAGCCAACATTTTCAAATATAAATTTCATTCTACAGATTTCACAGAAATAGCTAAACAAAAAGTCACAAGTTCATACAAACTGAAATTAAATTAATGAGTTCTGAGAAAATTAAGAGTCAGACGCCCAAGGTGCTATTAGTTAAGAAACTAGACACTTGATTTGAATTCGGTTTGGGGATTTTTTTGTTAACATGTTCAAGGAAATGACCTTAAATTCTCTGATGTAACGATTACTACCATTTCCTCTTAGGGAAATAGCATTTCAATAAATTGTGGTAAAATGTCTGATAGTAATATGTTTAAGAATAAATGAAGGAACCAGGAAAAAAACAGGCTAAATATATCATGTGGCCTTCAGTAATCCCCCTAAATTTACAAACAGCTTGAGCTGCAATAATAATCTAAAAACAGCTGTCAGTATCACATTACTAAAAACGAGAATGCTTCCTGGTTTCACAATGTGCCCTATCCATCCTAGTGACACATAGATTGCCTTACAGACAGGTGTGATCCCATCACTAGTACCAATCCTAACCACCGGGTGTGATCATATCACTAGTACCAATCCAAATCACCGGGTGTGATCATATCACTAGTACCAATCCTAGCCACCAGGTGTGATCATATGCACTAGTACCAATCCTAACCACCGGGTGTGATCATATCACTAGTACCAATCCTAACCACCGGGTGTGATCATATCACTAGTACCAATCCTAGCCACCAGGTGTGATCATATGCACTAGTACCAATCCTAACCACCGGGTGTGATCATATCACTAGTACCAATCCTAACCACCGGGTGTGATCATATCACTAGTACCAATCCTAGCCACCAGGTGTGATCATATGCACTAGTACCAATCCTAACCACCGGGTGTGATCATATCACTAGTACCAATCCTAACCACCGGGTGTGATCATATCACTAGTACCAATCCAAACCACCAGGTGTGATCCCATCACTAGTACCAATCCAAACCACCAGGCGTGATCCTATCACTAGTACCAATCCAAATCACCAGGCGTGATCCCATCACTAGTACCAATCCAAATCACCAGGCGTGATCCCATCACTAGTATCAATCCAAATGACCAGGCTTGATCCCATCACTAGTACCAATCCAAATCACCAGGTGTGATCCTATCACTAGTACCAATCCAAATGACCAGGCATGATCCCATCACTAGTTCCAATCCAAATCACCAGGTGTGATCCTATCACTAGTACCAATCCAAATGACCAGGCATGATCCCATCACTAGTTCCAATCCAAATCACCAGGCGTGATCCTATCACTAGTACCAATCCAAATCACCAGGCGTGATCCCATCACTAGTACCAATCCAAATCACCAGGCATGATCCCGTCACTAGTACCAATCCAAATCACCAGGCGTGATCCCATCACTAGTACCAATCCAAATCACCAGGCATGATCCCATCACTAGTATCAATCCAAATCACCAGGCGTGATCCCATCACTAGTACCAATCCAAATCACCAGGCGTGATCCCATCACTAGTATCAATCCAAATCACCAGGCGTGATCCCATCACTAGTACCAATCCAAATCACCAGGTGTGATCCTATCACTAGTACCAATCCAAATCACCAGGCGTGATCCCATCACTAGTACCAATCCAAATCACCAGGCGTGATCCCATCACTAGTACCAATCCAAATCACCAGGCGTGATCCCATCACTAGTACCAATCCAAATCACCAGGTGTGATCCTATCACTAGTACCAATCCAAATCACCAGGCGTGATCCCATCAATAGTACCAATCCAAATCACCAGGCGTGAACCCATCACTAGTACCAATCCAAATCACCAGGCGTGAACCCATCACTAGTACCAATCCAAATCACCAGGCGTGAACCCATCACTAGTACCAATCCAAATCACCAGGTGTGATCCTATCACTAGTACCAATCCAAATCACCAGGTGTGATCCTATCACTAGTACTAATTATCCAAATCACCCAGCCTTTCATAATTTCCAGGTTCACAAGAAGATACTTTAAATTCCCAATATTTCCCCCAATATTTACTTGGCAACCAGAAATAAAAAGTTAAATGTAGATTTCTTTCTGAAATAATTTGATATTGTTTTTAGTTATAAAGCACTTGGCTTTGTAATATCCAGCCTGGCGAGTTAAATGTTTCCAAATACCTGATGTAACTCTGGACTGCACAATTTCCTATTTCCCAATTTTCAGGTTTCACAATGTCTATTAATTTGGTAAACAGGGAATTTACTGTATTTCCATAGGATGTAATGTACATTTTAGAGTTCTCATAGATGTCGATGGCCCATTTTATTGGCTCGTGTTTTATCTGCTCAGAAAGTCCATCGCGTGAATACCAAAATCAAATGCCACAAAAGAAATCATTCATGAGAATGGCCAAATGTTATTATTATTATTTACAAAGAACCAACATAATCCTCAATGTAGACAAACGTTATGTTTAAAGGGACACTCCTGGCACCAATATAACTTTAATGCATATGATAACTGGTATGTACACAGTCTCGGCCCAACAGCAAAGTGAGCTATTTTTAATTCAATCCTGGCTGCAGACAGTCAGAGAAACTGCAAACAGATAGTGAAATCCTTACTATATGTCTTCCTGGGTGTCCTCTCCTTCGAATGTAGGTTGTTCAGATCATTCAGTTCTGTAAGGGCTGAGCTGTGTACGTACATTGTTAAGGAAGTCTTTTTCTGGAGTGAGGGGGTGTGGCTAAAGAGGCAGGCTCTTGGTGCCGCATTCTGCAAAACATTTATTTATTTTATACAAAAACTATAAAGTTTTGAGCATGCAAAGTATACAGCATATTAATGTGCCAAAACATATCAAATGCATTAAAGACATATTGGTGCCCAGGGTGTCCTTCTAAGGGTAGACAAAACTCACCTCTAAAGAATGACAGAAACAAAAGGCTGTCTTAAGGGCCTTTGTGAGATACGCATACAATCGAAACCTGTAATTTGGGGCACACTGTATTCACTATAACCACTACAGTCAAATAATTGAATAGGGAGGAGGCACGTGTGCTTTGGCGGCACAAAGGGTGGTGTGTCGGTCCCCAATTGTAAAAGATTTCTATTGAAATTGGTACTTTTATTAACTGTCACCAATGTGACACACTCGAGACACATAAAGCACTTCAGCAAGCAGTTTTAGTGTATAGGTCATAACCATGCAGGGTCACTGCTATATTCTCTGCCATTTAGCAGTTAAATAAATCCCTCTCTGTTTCTGTTTATGCTACCCTAGCCACACCTCCAATTGGTGTAACGTGAAAAAAAATGGTTTCATTTTCAATCAGATCTTTTTTTAAACACAGTGTGTTTAATTTAGAAGTTCTAACCTCCTACTCTGTTGGAAATTTAATCACACACAGGAGGCTGCTGTAGGCTATGAACAGAGCAGGCGATAAGAAATTCTAAATGAATAGGAATGTAGGGAGGCTGCGCGAGCCGTGACACTGCAGGTTATGATTATACACTAAAACCACTTCACTAAGGTAACGTTGTTTTGATACTTAAAGTGTCCCTTTTTGTTTTCTTAATTCCTTATTTGGGCATGATGTGAGCAAAAGATAAGATCAATGTACATTACAGTATTGTACAGTAGTCATTAAACAACTTGTGTGTTACAGCTTGGCACTTTTTTTGGTTTTTAATTTCTTTATTTTTGAGTGAACAATCAGGTGGAAAGACAATGATCACACATGTCACAATAAACAGCAGGCGTTAGCGAAGTACAACGTGTATCAGTACAACAAGTCACACAGTGGTACATCAGCTACGGAATAATAGTATAGAAGGGTTACACACAGGCAACCTGCTCTTTATATCACCATGCCTTTCTGTCGTCTTTTCCCCCCTAATCCCTAGTTCACATTTGCTAGATTTTATAATTTTGATAACCAGACTCATTATATAATTAGGCCCTAGGTCGTGGGTGGTCCATGGAAAAGCCTGTTGTTGTCTCCACATCGTATTTACCTGACGGTGTACTGCTCTGCCACGGATCTGGTGGCCCCAAGATTCGGACCTAGCTTTCGGTATTTTGGGGTGATGCTGCTGTCAGCAAATTAGAATGAGTAAGCAATCATAATGTCATGCATCTGTGCTCGGGCACACAATGTTTTGTCATGAACCTCAGGGCCCAAGACCAGATGGCTCCCAAGGAAACAGCGAGTTAGGTATCTTTGCAGCTGCCAAGGTAACAATTATGGCTTGGATGTGTATGAGTCCACTTCCCAAGGGTGTGTTGTATGTATAAGGCTTCCCCTAGAGGGGCAGAGAGAATACAAGAAGAGAAAGACAAGAGAGAAAAGAGAATAGAGAGAGTAGGGTAGGCAAGGAAAAACGGACGGTGGCTAAGGGACAAGCAGCCGGCAAGCCATCAGCGGCTCTCAGCTCTCTACAGCGCGCCTTTCAGCCCTGGGCCCCTCTCACGTGCGACTGTCATGTTATCTTTACTCAATGTATTCCTCCCATGGTTCCCATGTCTTCTTAACGACCTTTGTGATCCCCCTTACTTGTGCTGTCAATTTGTCCATGAGATACGTGTCCTTCAGTTTATGGATTACTGTGTCTATGGGGGTAATGTGGGTTGGAGCCAATTTTGGGCCAATGCTCGCCTGCCAGCCAGTGTAATTTTGTTTAGAAGTGCTTGTTCTGCTTTAGTCCAGTTGTCTTTTGGTCTAGAGAGTAAGAATAGCCATGGATCCGGGTCTAATTGTTTATGTAATATTTGGGAGACTAAAGTGCATAAGTTTTTCCAGAACTCATGCACCTGTGCGCAATTCCACCACATGTGGTGGTATGTGCCTCTGGACCCACACAGTCTCCAGCAAAGGTCCGTTGGGATCTTGTGCATATGATACAGTTTTACAGGGGTGGTGTACCAACGGAACATGGTCTTGTAAGACTGTTCTTGGAGGGTCACGCAGATAGACATTTTCCTGTTAGCCCCCCATATTTCCTGCCAGTCTATTCCCTCTAAGGACCTCTTCCAATTCCGCCTCCCATTTGTCTGTGTAGTCTAGCCTGCCCCAGTCTGTAGTGTTAGAGCCCAGGTGTACATATAACGTGGTGATAAGCCCTTTCTGAGAGGTGTCAGAGTTCCACTGACTTGTAAAAAGTCAGTGGGGTGCGAGCTGCCTGTTTAATGTATGGTTGGGTGGCAAATCCCTGACATGGGTATATCTAAGAAGTCAGCCGGTTAGCGTGGTTCTAGTTTATAGGACGTTAAAAGGAATGACACTCCCATGTATAGTTGATGAATGCGCTGAAGCCCCGCATATTCAAGTCCCTTAAATTCCCTGACTCGCATGCCTGGCATAAAGGCCGATTTCAAAGTATGGGCATCATAGGGGACAGAGTAGACATGAGCCCATATTTCCCAGCTACGGTGTCCCAGACCCTGATGGCATTTTGTTATGGTGGGGCAATTTGTGCGTATAAATGCCCTGTGTCCCCTAGGGGTCTAGATATAGAATTGAGGCCCATCATCAGTGACTCTAAATCCACCCATCTCCTTTCCTCAGGTGGGGTGTGTCATAAAGCTATTTGTGTTAGTTGTGTCACCAAATAATAAAAGTGAAGATGGGGGAGCCCTAGGCCTCTTGCTGTCTTGGATCTGTACAAAATATTATGGGCTACCCTGTGTCGTTTATTCTGCCAGACAAAGCTGTCGATGGCGGTCTGTAAAGGGGCTAGGTTTTTTTGGAGATCAGAATGGGCACTGCTTGAAACAAAAATAAAATACGGGGGGGGGGAGAATATTCATATTAATTGAGTGGATGCAGAAGATCCACGAAATGGGTTTGTCTATCCACTTGTCCATGTCTGCCATAAGAGTTTTCATCATGGCGGTATAGTTAATTTGGTATAGGTGTGCTGGGTTTGAGGGGAGGTTAATCCCCAAGTATTTGATGTATTTGTGCGCGATTTGTATATGGTACGTGTCTCTAATGCTCATAGTGTCCGCAGCCGACAGGCCCACTGGAAGGGCGCTAGATTTGCTCATGTTGACCTTATACCCTGATAAGGAGTCATACTCTGCTAGTAGCAGGATTAGGGCTCGCATGGACTCCCTAGGGTTGGTGAGTGTCGGTAGGACATCCTCTGCGTAGCCCAAAACTACAAAGCATTGGTCGCCTAACCGTACTCTGGTAATCAGTGGGTGTTCTCGGATAGCAGTAAGGGTTCTAGGGACAGAACAAAAAGTAAAGGGGAGAGGGGGCAGCCTTGCCGGGTGCCGTTGCTCAAAGAGAAGGATTTGCAACAAGAACCTGCGAGTTTTATAATATCCTCCCTCAAAGCCATTTGGGCCTGGGGCCTTGCCGCTGTAGCAGACCCTGGGTAACCCGGCTGGTTACCTCTGCTATTAATACATGAACAGACCCATTTCCCCCCCAGTAACCGGACGACACACATGTATAGGGTACAACAACAACTTTATTGGCCACATGCGGCTTTATACTTTCCCCGTGCAACTGCGTGCAGTTCCCATAGACCTGCTGGCGACGGATCGGTTTTATGGCGTTGTTCTGCATGATGGAGAGATTCAAGAAGTGTAGTTAAAAACTGAGTTTTTTGTTTTTTCTTGTGTGTGGCGATTTTGGTAAGGGTTCCACACACTACCACCTTAGGTGCTGCCCACACCGTTGCAGTGGAGACGTTCAGGTTTAAATTTGTCTGGAAATGTCCACGGCGTTGAGACACTCAGATTATCTAAGTAGAGAGTCACGTCTGCGTGGTCCGACCATGTGATTGAGCCAATCTCTGCCCTGGTTACCTTGGTCATTCCCAAGTCATTGACTAGGAAATTGTCAATACGGGAATAAGTGTTATGGGGTGCTGAGAAAAAGGTGAAGTCTCGTGCGTCAGGTTGGTGCACTCTCCATGCTTCTATGAGTCCTGTGTGCCATATGAAATGGTGAAGAAGTGTAGCCAATTTATCATAGAATCCTAGAATCCAGCTATGGGGGTATTTGGGGCATAAATGTTGAGTAGATGGAGCGTTTGTTAATGAATGTTGCCATTCACTAACAGAAATCTGCCATCCGGGTCTGGGAGCACCCTAGTCACCTGAAGTGGACATCTCTTGTGGATGAGAACAGCCACTCCATTGTGTTTCTGAAGTGCCCTAGCTTCTAGTGAAGTTGTGTATACGTGATCTTTTACGCCAACGTGTGTTGTCTGGTGTAGGTGTGTTTCTTGGATGAATGCTATATCGGGTTTTAAGTGCTTCAGTTCCCTCAGTAGAAGGCGGCGTTTCCTAGGAGCATTGAGACCCTTAACATTGATGGAGATAACTTTAAGTGTCATGATGGTTGGGTTGGAGACGTGCTTGTAGAGGAAGTCGTCTAGCCTTCCCACCCCTCGCACCCAACCCCAGGGGCGATAACCCCCTGCTTGAAAAGCTAGAGAAAGAGGGAAAAGAAAGATAGGAGAAACAGAAAAGAGAAGTGCAAAAACCTCTGGTCTTACTAATCGCCAGATATTGGGGGGGTGCATGTACCCAATCCTTCGCTGAGTTACCAGCTATTTACAGTATGTTTAGCTTGCCTCCTTTAATGCCAACCTGAAGCTTAAAGGAGGCAAGCTAAACATACTGTAAATAGTCTGTGTTACGTAGCTTGCTGGGGTGACAATACAGATCTAACCTAACATAGCAGCACTGTATACTCAGAGCCATGCAAATGAGACTCTTCCATGACCCCACCCAGAGAGCACCAGCCCCAGTGCCACAGCGGCGGCCATCAGCGCCAGGCTCCCTGCAAATGGCCCCCACAAAGGCCCACCCAACCCCACCAACAAACACTGCCACGGACCACCCCCAGGCCCCACATGATGCCCACCACACCAGCATACAGAGCCGACAGCAGCATCCATGGGTTTCTAAGCAGTATTGGGAGACAGTAGTGATTTTTTTTTTTACATCTGGTGGATCGTAAATGCCATTTTATAGGTTGTGTAGTGGTAGTATTGGTATGATCCGGAGTGGGTGCTTTATGTCAGGTATATAGGTGTATACTTTTTGTCCTATGGGGAGCGATTTAGATGAGGGTCACTTGTGGATCAATAGGAAGAACATGTAGCTGTAGTTGCATGAGAGTAAACTATGTGAAGGCTCTTACTCCTCATTGAGGTGTAGTATATCTATGTGCTGTGTAGTCTACTCTGGAGGGGTAGTAACCCTAACCTAACAGTTGTCAGTGGGGGCAAGGATGCACACTGTGTTACAGTACGCCTCAAGTTGTTACACTATTGGGCCTGGTCGGTAACAATGAGTAGAAACAATAAAGCCAAACTGTCAATATGGTAATTGGCAACAATGAAGTAGAAAATTAAAGAGAAAAAAATTGAAAGTACAAAAAAATTAAGAACTGATAACTCTGTATAGCCTTTGATCAATTTGGGATAGGAGACTTCTCCTCCCAAACCCTTCAAGTGGCCAGAGGGTCTTCTCGGCTAGTTCTTGGTTTGAACGGCTCAAATGTCGCCGGATCCCAGATCGGGAGGTGTTCTGGCCGGTTGTGGTTGTTGTCGTATTCGAGAGACCTAGAGTTGATAGTAGCACGGGGGCTTCTCTTCTTGAGGTCATTATGTGTGTGGCCTCTTTATAAGTGATGATGAGGGAGCATGGGGTACTCCATCGTTATGTCACCCCTGGTGTATGTAGGCAACCGGTGAGATGGCGGAGTGTCTTCCTCCACTGTAGTGGCTTGTTAAGTCTTGGTAAAAAGTCAGTTGGGACTCATCAAAATTGAGTAGTATCTTGCCTGTTATCGCGGCCATAATGTGCCCCTTGTAAAGTGCTGCTTTTAAGTATAGAATAAAGGAATGTTAACACTTTTATACACTTTTGGCTTCTAAAAGCACAATCATTTTTCTTCTATATTATTTTATTTGCTTTTTTCACTCATCTTCTCATAACATGACAGTTTTGCTGATCTGATTAATACTTTTAGGTCACTTCCAGGTGTGGTTTATGATTACACTTGTAAATATAATATGCTATTAAAGCAGACCTGTTGTTCCTTTTTGGTATAGTTTAGTTCTCCTGATTCTGTGTATATGCTGTGTAAATGTTGAGCCTTTCAATGTGATGGGCTGAAGCTCTGGTATCTAACACGGTGAAGGGGCCTCACACAGCATTCAGAAAGAAATTCAGTAAGGTCGATCTTTATATGTAACCCTTTAAAGAATGTTAGTATGTTCCATACCGTTCTCCACAGACTGGGCTTTTAGATAATTCGTACAGCATTGACATTTCATTTTGTTGTGAGCATGGTTAAATCATGGAGACCCAGGTAACAGTTGATATTTATATTTTGTTTAACCCTGACTGACCGATGAGCTGTATGTTGTTCACTAAGAGAGTACTGCGATCACCGTTTAAATGCATTTAAATCACCGCTGCTGAGCAATTGCGTTCAGCCACAGTGATTCTCACCTTGCTCCCAGACAGAGGGAGTCCCCAGGGTCTGAAAGAAACTGAATATAGGGACTTCCTTCATTCCCCCCATGCCGATAGGGATCGTTACTCGTCAGGGTTTCATGTTTATACTGACTAACTGGAATTTTGAGCTCTATATATGTGTGTGTGTATGTGCCATGTATGCGCTGACATAATTCATATATATATCATTTACAATCTCCCAGGCGATTCTCAGCGCAGATGAATAAACAGAAAGAGAACGTCTGCTGAGAACTTCCAAAGCACAATGAAGTGTATTTAAACAAATACCATATGATCAATGAATCTACCCCTCAGGTCAAACCCTTTTTAAAATACACTTTATTGTTTTTTTGGAAATTCCCAGCGAGCGCTCGATTTTCCTTATGTTTATATATATATATATATATATATCTATATACTGTACATTAGCACACCCAGCAATCTTCCCTCTAGATATTTGGCACATTACGTTAATGTTATGATAATCTGCTCCCTTTAGAATGTACGCTTTAAATTACTTTAGATTTTGTTCCTTATTGTGCATCGCTGTGGCGTATGTTGGAGGTATATGAATTATACTTTTAGTTCTTTGATCTGTGGAGGAGGATTATATTGACATGCTGTACATCATTGATGAGTAGAATGAATGTCGTCGTGTGTTTGTGTGAATAATACATTTTATTTTCTGATAATACAGAGCGTGGTCCATTCCGTGCAATACAGATCCCGCAACTAATCATGTTTTAATTACCAATCAAACTGAGATCCATACAGTAATACATTAATTAACCCTGTGTGTTTTTGTTCATGGATCTGTTTAACGGAGCATTAAATAGATAAGTAAGAAAAATCCAGGCACAATTTGTTTTATTTCTAATTTCATTGAATTTATCAGGACAGCATGCGCGGGTTTAGAGTTTTTTCCCCACCAGTTTATTGGTCTTTGTTTGTCCTCATTTGGTGGATAGGATGAGGATAATGTATGACATTAGATTACGTGTGCATTGTTGGTATATGTGATGACATTATTCATGGTACGGCCAGCACAGCACCGGATAATCCGAATTCCCCGACATTATAACAAGACAGCAATGTATGGGCCGTTACAGTAATGTCATATCCGCTTGTTCTAATCTTCCAGACCGTATCTGAACTATTGCAAGATAAGAGATACATTCCTTTTTATTGTTCCAATATTTTTGTATACAATAAACAAAGAAATTCGTGTAATTTAATAGAATT